CAGCATGCAAGATATTTTTTGCATGCTTCTCATTTGCATAGTTTTGCATATGGCTGCATATTTTATTGTTTTCTAGCTCCACAGTCAGTTCTTAATTACTCATACTAAAGACTTAGTTGTGTTCCACATATTATTACACAGCGTCTACCATGAGCTAGGCATTACTTCTTACACGTTAGACTCTGGGAAGACGAATGCCCAGGTCCTATCATTAGCATCCACTCATCACCTGGTGCGGACACGGGAACCTACTAGTAACGTGGGTGTCGTGAAGATGAATGGATAAAACATGCATTGTTGCTCTCGGGGGCACGGAGACACAAACACACTCACGCAGACGTCAACAACATAAGGTAGATCTCTCTCCCCGTTTCTATATTGTTCCTATTATAATAACTTCCCACTTCATCTCTTCCCTGCCACCCACCCCTCCAGCTGCTCCTCTTTCCAAAAAAAGCCATTCTGTGAACTACAAGGGGTGATAAAATATACGGCGAATGTTTTTAAAAATATTTATTACAGTAGAAGACACACTGCCACTCACCCCTCGCAAAACCTTCCTGCTCACTTTGAACACACTTGTCCCACTACTCTTGCACATTATGTTTTGTTTTGTTTGTTTTATGTTTGTCTTTTTGAGACAGGGTCGCCCTAGGCACTTGAGGCTCTCCTTGAGCTCCCTTTGTAGCCCAGGCTGGCCTCAAACTCACAACAATCCTCCTGCCTCAGCTGCCCAAGTGTTGGGATTACAGGCGTGGGCCACCACGCCCAGCTTTTTGCTACACTGTGAAGCAGTTCTGGAAGTCCTCTTTTATAAATATCTTTACAAGATGTGATCAAAAATATGGTGAACGCTGCTGCTGAGTGCCACCGAGTGGAAAGGCAGGCTCCTAAAAACTTTAGTGCGTCCTTATCCACCGGAGCTGGCACTGTGCAACTTCTGGTTCTTGCCCAATGTCAAAAGGATTATAAAAGGTAAATGTTTGGAATCGATATGAGACAATCATGAAAGCGTAACTGAAAATACTCATGAAAGAGGACGTCCAGAACTGTTTCAGAAAGCATCAAGAACAATGGGATAGGTGCGGCGTTCAAATCCAGGAGTGTTTTGAAAGGCATTGATGGCAATATGTCTTTTTGCGGGGGGGGGTCTTTTTAGACAGAGTCTCACTATGCAGCTCAAGCTGGCCTTGAGCTCGCTTTGTAGCCCAGGCTGGTCTCAAACTCGCAACGATCTTCCTGCCTCAGCCTCCCCAGTGCTGGGATTACAGGCGTGCACCACCACGTCCAGCGACCACAGATGTGCATTGGGCTCCTCTTGCCTACTGTTTCCCCACCTTCTCTCCATTCCTATAGAAGAGACACTCCTCTTTGTTCAAGAAGATGGCCTTATCATGCTCTCTGCCTCCACGTCATCTTGCTTTACACAGCCTGGTGGTCTCTGCTGTTCCCTGCCCCCTGTATGTTACACCTAGTGGAATACCAGTAGAGGTACTGCTTTCCCTAGACACAAAACAATCCTCTTGCTCTCTCAGGGCACCTGCCCTCCCTCTCTCCTCTCACCACCTCCATCCCTCACCAGGCCTTCGCAGGTGGGACTCTCCCTGGCTGAAGGCTTTGCCTCTTCCTCTACCTGGAAACTTCTAGCATTGCTTTAAACCTCAGACCCAGTGAGACCTCTGATGTTCTCGGTACAGGCACAAAGCTGGGACCATGGTGCCACACGGATGTCCTGGACCAGCAACGCAAATCGCAGAGTCCTGAAGACACGCCCTCCCCTTGCACAGGGCAGGGGCCCAAGTGCTGCCCAGGAAGCACTTACGGGGCAAACCCACCCTCCTCACCAGTGTGCCCCGAGCTGGTCACAGCATCACTCAGGACGCTCACGCCAGCTGCCTTGCTGAGAAGCCACACTGAGTCCATAGTCTGGTACTGGGCATCTTCCTGATGTCGGCACCAAATAAGGGTTACTGAGGACCTACACTAACCTGCACGGCTGTGGGACCCAGGGTTCGGGTAACTCACCCAGGGGCCCTCAAGACAAGACCAGACTGACTCAGTCCGCCAGGCCAAGCACTGCGCCTTACGCTTGGGTAGGAGGTGGATCACTGAGGACGCTCAGTGAATCAAATGGAGGTGGACAGGCATTCGTTCTGAGGTCAGCTGTGGTCGCAATCCTCTCCATACACCAGGCAGACTCTCTCTCATAGATATTTTCTGTTTGTTGTTTCATGGTTAACAATAAATGAACTTCCAGAGAAAAGTACGCCATCAGGCAAGTGAGCCGCCCCATTCCCCGCCTCCCGGCTGCAGGACTTTCCTATTTCAGCACTGACCCCTCCCCTGCTGCTCCCAAGAAGGGACAGGGTCGCCCTGGGTCCCGGAGCTGGTGCTGCCTCTCTGCCTGTGTATTTGCTCATTGCTGGGAGGAAACAGCTGACACCCTCCACTGAAGGGAGGAGAGGCTGATTTTGGCTCACAGTTCAGTGCAGACTCGGCTGACCCCAAGGCAGGTCGGCGTGGCACAGGGGCCTGGCGGAGGAACAGCGGCTCACCTCGCGGCAGACAGGAAGCAGAGTGACCCGCGGCAGACAGGAAGCAGAGTGAAAGGAAGAGCTGGGAGGGAGATAAACCCGTCCAGGCCACACCCCCAGTGACCACCTCTTCCAGCCAGACTCCGCCAAACACTCAGTCAGCTGTAAGCGCCCCGATCCAACCGCCTTCCAAACTGGGAGGCTACAGGGCCGCTTAGATCTGGACCATGACCACCACCTACCGCTCAGAGTCAAGGGCACAGGGCTCAGCTGGACCCTGATGCCCAGCGATGGCAAGCAGGCAGGAAGAGACTCTCTCTCCCTGTCACGCCCACCCCAGGAGGCTTGGGTCCCCCATAGGAACACCTCATCGTCAGCCCTACTGAGCGAACAGCAAAGCCACTCAGCCCATGAGCTCAGCCTTTTCTTCCCTCTCACCCAGGTAGCCAGATGCGATTCCTTCTCATTTTTGGTACCTTGGCATGTACGAATCTGAGTTGGTAATGAACCAAGATTTCGTACCTTGACTTCCTTTTTCTGTAGTCCTCAGCTGCCTTCCTGCCTGTCTTAGTTCTACTTTGGGATATGGAAGCCTCACAAAATGTATCACTCAAGGTCCTTCTGTTTCCGTATTTGCATGCAGACTGTGGCCGGGCATGGAAAGGTCTGTTTAATTCACGCATAAATCGAACCACAAGTCTTGAGCAGGGCACCCTATGAATGCCAAGGGGCATCGGGGAAGGCTGCAAGTCCTAACGGGGCAACCACAACTGATGCTCGACCTTGAAACTGCTAAGCAGTAATGCAGCGCTGTCTTCAATTACACGCCTCTGGCCAAGCTACAGCCTTCCTGAGCACAGCTCTCCGCCTGTGCGCCACTCTGACTTTACCTCCATTCGCTTCAAGCTCCAACCTTTGAGCTCCATAAGGACTCAAAATAATAGAGGTGCAGTGGCCCACGCCTGTAATCTCAGCCCTCTGGGAGGCGAGGCTGGGTGTAAATTCAGCCCGAGAAGCTTATCCAGACCCTGTCTCAGAGGGAAAACTAAACAAGGGTTGGGGATATAGCTCTGTGGAATGGCCCTGGGTTCCATCCACACAAACAGGAACTGCAAAGATCAAGGAACAGCAAAGATTACTTTCTTTTTTCTTTTTTTTTTTTTGTCTTTTTGAGACAGGGTCTCACTATGCAGTTCAGGCTGGCCTTGAGCTCACTTTGTAGCCCAGGCTGGTCTTGAACTCGCAAGGATCCTCCTGCCTCAGCCTCCTAAGTGCTGGGATTATAGGCATGCGCCACCACGCCCGGCTTTCATATTTTTAACTGGCAGGGAAAAAGTTAAAAACTAGAGTTGTCTGGTCATAATATCCCAGTTTAACGACTTCCTCTTGGAAGACACCCAAAAGCAATACGGAGCATACGCAAACAAAAAAGAGCAAACTCTTTCCCCGTGGAGACTAGAAGACATCTGCAGCCCGCAAGTGCAGCCTGAGAAAGAGCTGCCGAAGTGCAGTGAAGGACGGACAGGCAGAAGCAAGCATGCGCGCCACACCCGCGGGGCACCTCTGCTACTTTGGAACGGCGGGGACAGGCGTGCAGATGAGCAGAAGCAGCGGCCGGCACAGGTGGGAGGCAATGAGGAGGCGCAGCCGTTAGGCCAGGCTGGGAGGGAGCCGGCCACTGCTGGGGCCACAGGAGGAAGGCAGACTGCTTAGGACACCACCAGCATCCAGCCCAAGGTGCAGCAAGCGAGAGAAGAGCAAGGGCTGAATGGATCCCCTTGCAGTAACTGCCGTCACAGGAACCGGCAGCACGGCACAGGGCCTCGGCCTGCACAAGGCCCCTACCAACGCTAGAAGATGAAGAGCTCCTCTAACAACAAGAAACGGACCTTTTCACAATATGCTGCAAGAAGGAAAACGTAAAAACAAACAATGGCACGGGGCATAGTGGTGCACACCCAAAATCCCAGCACCAGGAGGCTGAGGCAGGAGGATTGCTCAAGGCCAGCTTGGGGTACATAGTGACTTCAAAGCCAGCCTGAACTATACTGTGAGACCCTACAGCAAAAAACAAACAAGCAAAGACAGCTGAACACCCATCGCACAGATGTCACATGCAACAGATTACTATTTTGCTCAAACATGTCATAAGTTCACAAAGCTTAAGAGCTGATTTCCATAAGCAAAAACATAGCAGGATTTGTAAGAGTTTAAGGAAGCTATGAGAAGACACTGGCAGGAAATACACCATGCGAGTTGATCTTAAGGGCATAAAAACAAAAGGC